TTCATATTATTAAAGTGGCGAAATCATTCTTGTAGCTATGGCGGGTGTGCCGGCTGCGAAGCCCGCGGTTTACTAGGGTACAACACATCAGGCAGAATTCATAGCTTCAAGAAATGACATGACGGAAGCATCTCCGTTTTAATAGATCCCTGCCAGCGATACGGGTTGATGTTAAAGCACCTTATAATCCTTGCAGTTACCGCATCTACCCTCAGCACGTAAGCACTTGTATACTCACCTGGTCGAAATGCGTACTGCAATAGGCAAAGCGAGATGTAAATGTGCTTACAATGTGGCTCAATATCACGATTTTGAAAAGGCGGCATGATGTATTGGATTACAAAATATTCTGAGTTGATTATCACATGTGCCATCAACTGTTTGTCATGGGGGGGGTTAGAAAAGGTATAAAAACATCGCAGCTGTTCCGCTGCTCGAGCCCATTCTACCTACCATTCTAAATCTAATCCTATCGGTAGGAACTATACACAATGGTGCCCTCTGCTTCTAAGTCTCTTGGGCCTTTGGCTCTCATCGCCGCATGTAGCTCGGCTCTGGCTTCCGCCTCCAACTGTGTTGAACTCTTAATTCCTGTTACTGCGCATGCCAACAACACAAAATTCAACACCGTGAAGGTTGATAGCAGTGTCGATGCAGTCGAGTTTACTCTAAGTAGAGAGTATGAGATACCTTGACCGATGGCTCTGCTGAACTAAGTTGGCTAACTTCATTTGTGATATCTGCAGTCGGTGGGATGCTCTGACTATCGCCGAAATTTCCGGCGGCGATATCGCGGTTGGTGGAGACTTCGAAATAAGCGGTCACTTTTGCATTCCGTCAACTCCGCGGAATGGCAAGAATACTCTCCTAATTGCGTCTCATGGCGTTGGTTTCACAAAGGAGTAAGTCGTGTTGCATAATGTCTTCATCTAATGAGTGCGTATCATGACTCACGGGCTGGATATAGTTTGTTCGATCCCACTTATAGACGGGATGACCTTTCGTTTGTGAAAGCTGCGTTAGATCAAGGCTACGCTGTCTTGGCGTACGACCGTCTTGGTGCCGGTCTGTCATCTCTTCCAGATGCATATGATTATCTCCAAGTTCCTCTTCAAGGAGAGGTCCTTCGTGCTTTGACAGAGCGCGCTCTGAATGGCACAATTGTTACAGCCTCTGAGAAGACTGGAGGAAGCAGTAGCATAACAGATTATACAGCCCAACAGGTCGTGCACGTGGGTCATTCTTATGGATCAATTGTCACCAACTGGTTTCTTGCACGATACGGCTCCCTTAGTGCTGGCGCCATCCTCACTGGTTTCTTGATCGACAATGAGTTTGCTGGCCTGAAGGTCGAAATCGCTGATCTGTCATATGCTCCTGAGCATAACCCTGCGCTATTCGAAAATCGCACGAGCGGCTACTTGGCGTTTGGTAGTATTACTGCTTTCCAAGCCGATAGTTTCAAGAAGGAAACTTTGGACCCTAATGTGTTAACCTATTGGAACGAAGAAATCCAGTCAAGTCTAGGAGTTGGAGAAGTCTTGACACTGGGAACTGGGGTCGGAGATGTGGTAGCCGATCTTACTGGACCTCTTCAGGTAAGCCTTACCCATGAATTATCTCAAACGTGCTCGAAGTGTTACCCTTCTGGCTAACCCATAAATACAGTTCTTTGTTGGTGAAAATGATTTCGCCTTTTGCGAAGGTCAATGCGCAGGCACTTTTGATCTGAATCTGCTTCACGGCTTGTACCCCAATGTCAAGGACCTTGACGTCTACCTCCAGCCTAATACCGGACACGTCGTTGAACTGTCTCTCAATGCGACAGCAGGTTACCAGGTGATATTTAGTTTCTTGTCTAAGAATGGGCTATAAGGATAATTGGCGCCTGTAAGGGCGACTATCATGAGCTTGAAGGCCACAAAACTTGTGTTTAGTGTAAACAAGATCAATCAAGTAATGTATCCCAATTGCCTCATCTGTTATTTTCCTTGGCACTTATTGGCCAACTTTATTGTTTGCGGACACACTTAAATCTAAGTTTTTGTTAGTCTAAGCCATAATGTGTCGCTCTTCGAGGTAAGCATGGGCTAAGGTATCACTGCATGTATCAGCGCGACGCTGGCTGCATAGATGTTAATAGAGCAAATAACAAATTTGTTTAAAAGCCCATGATCTAACTGCACACCGCATTAGCAAAGCATAGTGACATTATCGTGGTGTAAGACCGATTTGGCCTTGCATTACCGGAGTGATACGTTGAGTCTCTCTAACTGGGTCTAGCACTATTACTTGTGCTAACTCAATCCATCACCGTTCGTCTGCAGAAGAGATTTCTCATACTTGACACAAAGATACATCATTATATATTGACATAAAACTATGAAAGACTAGCTGCATTGCTATTGAATGAGTACGACTCGAATTCTTCATAGCGACTCTTCTTCAAATGCGGAAAACCTCCCAGGCGTAGGCACTGGTATTTACTGCAATTGTAGCCGGTATGACCAACTGGTTGTTTTGAAACGAGATCTGGGTGACGCCATGATCAATTGGCCCATCTACCTCTCCGCGAAGGCCGGCAAATGGAAACTCTCGCGTTTGAACGTTGACCGTTCCCTGGGTATTAAAGCCAAAATCGGCCATTCCATCGACATTGATAGTATAAGATCCTGTTTCTGTATGGGCTGAGCCGAGGATTCTCACTCGGTCGCTTGCAGTCGCGTATACATCAAAGAAGCCGTCAGCAGATGGAGTCGTTTCTACCCGGTTGCCAGTCATGTTTGTGCCGTAATATCTGTACACTTGCCATTCACCAGCGGGAAAGTAAACGCCGTCACCCGTCCTACCCAGTAGATCGGTCATGAAGTCGTGCAAAGATGGACCACCCGTCCAAACAGATCTGAGACCGTGGATGTTGTTGCGCTCAAAGCGGGCCATAAACCAAGCGGAACTGGCTGGAACCTGCTCTTCGGGAGACTAAGTCTTGTTTGTCAGCCAGTTCTCAATACCGATGGAATCAAAGATCTTACGCCGTATTCATTAATGTTGATTGGACGGTCTGGAAGACCAAATTGTTGTAGCAACTGCTCAAAGACGCCCCTTGAGAAAGTGATATCGTCGCCACCAGATCCTCCTGATTGACGAATTAAATGCCAACAATACGTATCGGGAATCACATTTTGTGACCCAATCATGCTCAACCAATCAGTCCACCAGACGTTATTTGGGTCCGGTTGTCCTGTAAACGTAGGTCCGAATATTTGCGCCTCGGGAAGAATACTCCTATTTTCCTGGTTATTCCAGAGAACTCATCATAGATTCTGAGTACCTTAGACTTACCGCAGCGTATTATGCGTCCTAGCGTACATGGCCATGAACTGACTTCGGTCTCGGAGCCAGAAGCCACCGCCATCCGCTTCATTCCAGATATCTACCTTGATGGCAGTCGTCATATTATTGGCTCGCATATCAGAGACAACCTGGTTGAGGAAGCTGTCCCATGTACTCCAATCTCCATTATCTCCGGGAAAGAGGTCAGACTGAGATTCTGATCCATCAGCTCCCCATAAATCATGAAGGAGGATAATGAACTCGGCACCGAATTGGCGGCAAGTATTATAATTGGATAACATTGAAGCGAAACGAGGCTACATATCGTTAACAATAATCGGGCTTATAGTAGTAGTTGACAGACCTGATACTGCTCTACACCATCCATATAACCCTTGGCCGGGAGCTGAGCGCCTCCAGCTCTTCCATAATTGAATGCGATTTCGCTGTAGAAATGTGCGGGAATCTGATTTGGGGTATCCGGGATGCCGTAGAGGAATCCAGATGCAAAGTGCTGGGGTGCTCCTTGCATTTGACTCAGATTTACAGTAGCAGTCTGAGATTGGCGCTTTACAACCCTTGAGGCAAAGCTAAAGCCTGCTGCGCAGGTAACAAGCAAAAGATGGCGTACCATGATGACACGAAAATTCTCAATGTTTTACTGCGGGTTTCACAACCTGTATCCCGTACCACACCTCTTCTCGATATAGCTCTTTTTTTTACGGGAAAACAGCTAGATTTATAACTAGAGAATGGTCGTAAGATAGTGGAGTAAGGAATATCCGATGCCTGTTCTATGTCCCGTAGGATATATCATAAGATCCGTCACATATATGTCAACACAGAGCAGTGAGACGGGCAACTTGGAGCTTTGCGCGGAGAGTGGAGCCTGCCGCTGCCCGGCATTAGCACTTGAATTTTCATGCATAACCAGCTTGTATTTAGGCTGTGCCCGGAAGGATGGGATTAATCCTATGATTTCACTCGTATTGAAGCCAGCTCTCCACACTATCAGGCCGATATAAGGCGGGGTTGTGAGATGAGAAGCATGGATAGCTTTGTATCAGCCGTCGCTCATTACTGGTTTAGGAATGTCGCATCATTTTATAAGTCCGATGCCTGCCAGAACGTTCATAGGGCTAAGCTATTCCTACTTCTATCATTTCTTACGACAGCGTCTGACCAACTCATGGAATGTATCTCTCTCTGCTATTCGTTCCTTTCACAACTAGCGGCCGTGCTGCTACGCCCGAGTTATTTTCGGTAGTACAATAATAAACAGTTACAGGGACATGACATGTCAAGGCCAATCAACCAAAATACCTCGGCGGATACATCAGTCACTTTCCCCACGTATCGTAGGTGCAAATGCTAATTAGAAAGCAACTTATTATATCAATTCCTTGTCTCCACTTCATAGTCTGTCAATACTCTCAATCCCCTGTCGTTCAATGCGTGCGATAACTATAAAGATGACTGCCGGAGAACCGCACGCCTGATATTGGGTTTCCAGTAGAATGTCCTTCCCCACTTGTCCTTTCCGGTCGTCATCTTTGAGAGCTATGACATTTCCCCCCTATCTAACTTCTACAGGGTTCAGGTAGTTTAATTAAGGCAGTTTGAGTAACGACAAGTTTCACTCGATAAGTAGATAGCGCGAAATTGAACGCTGATTAAGAGCACAACTCGGATCGAATTTGTTTGCAAACTATATACATCGAATGGATCTCTGTATCCCCATTCATCCCTATTCCTTCAACGTTGGAAATTCACAATGTTTCCTCACACGCTGTTTCAAGACTGCGTGTAAGATATTTGGTTGACTTGAAAGAATTCAGTAGATGCCGCGAGGGGACCGTCCAGCCACTTTGGATACCAGGCGTTGAGCTGAATGTTCATAGGATGAATGGGTTGCTGCGCTGGTGTATGAAATTGAGCTTCCAATGCACCATTGATGTAGAATGAGATAGCGGCCTCTTGATAGTCAATCATGTAGTCATTGTATCCGGTGCTTGGGTCCCAGGTTGGGAAATATGGATGAGACCATTCTTTGACTCCCAGACGATAAACGGTGAACGCAATCTCCCATTTGCCTTTGTTCAGATATACTTCGATGTCGATCTCGTCGCTAGTGGAGGTTCCTTGGTACATGAAAATACTTGAGATAATTCCAGGTAGATTTGGAACCTTGAAATTCGCAGCGACTTGGCCGAAGGAGTATTGCGCCTTGGATCTAATCTCTCCTCCATTATGAGTTCCCGCAGGAATCTCAAAGTTCAGCACGCCTCCACCGCTTGGATTCACATTGGCAGACTGCACAAAACCTAGCCCCTGCTCCCAGTCGGCTTTGGACCATAAGTTTGAGTCGAACGTGGTGCAGTTGTCCACGAAGCTAGCCCCGGTCTGAGCTGGAAGCATCACTGCAGCAAGAAGCGTTAACACCTTCAAAAACTTTGCCATTGTGTTCAAAACTTGTGACTTTGTGATATGTGTTTGTAAAAAGAAATTGAAGATATAAAAATTGAGAAAGACCCACTGAAGGCGAGGCACTCCAAGTTAACTTGATCTCAGAAGTAAACGAAAGAGACACAGACTACCTATTTATATCAGACAACATCAACTATCGTGAGGCGAAGTAATAGGGGCCTCTGAGATGTCGGACGATTTCTCACCAGCTGCGTATTCAACTCTTTGCTTGCACGATTGTGTTCGTTTTCGTAAAGAATAATTACAACTAGGCTGCTTGTAGAAGGTTCTGAAGCTGCGTTCTTCGGCAACATGATCGTATTTTTATAGTCTTTCTATAAGTAGCTTAGCGATTGCGTTAATTTTCGTATTGGCTATTTTATTCTAACCTGATTCTCAGAGTATTGGTTGAAAATTGTTTCGATGCCGGCAGGGTGTTTCCGCTTTCGAATCGTATTGCCCTGTTAGGATGATTAAGTACAGGGAAGAATCTCATTGGGGAAAAAATTGACCAAAAGAGACAAAGGAAAGAATCTTATTGGCGGTAAAAATTGCGGTGAAGCCACCAGTTATAAACTGGCTAAAATGTTTTTTTATACATCCTCTTTTAGTTCTCCAATGTTCTTCGTACTCCTACTCTTTTCAGTCATTTCTTTGCACCGCCATCATTTCTGGCCAAAATCCTACCTTTAACAACGAGTATACGACCCCGGAAACTCCTATTAATAACGTAATACCAACTCGTTTAATAATCATTATCTTCTGTGTACCAGTTGTTTAATAATCAGCGTTCTCTGTGCACCTGCTGTTTTAAGTACACATCAACTAACGTGGGTATCTCTTGTAAAGACTTATACATTTGCTTTATCAAGTTGTCAAAACCAGTCCCAGATATCAGAGAACTCGTTGATATCGTCCAAAGGCGGACTCGTGCCCCCAATTAGATCTTTCACAGGGCTATATACATTCCCAGAATAATTCATCGATCCAAGGGCGTGCATCCATGACCCATTCAATTGCTCTTGGTGTAGCCCTATCGTCGGCTCAGCCACCAGGGAGCTTCCTTGTGTAGGTGTCGGTACAGAAGCAACGAAACTTGTCGGTGCGCTAGAAGGCTCCGAGGAACCTTGATTTGGAAAGTCTTCAGTCTTGAGTAAAACATTTCGTGCTTGTGAGGTTGGTATGTAAAGACTTTGCTCGCTTCTCTGGCCAGCTTCACCCAGGAATGGACGTTGCTGTAATGAAGTTGGTCCTTTCAGCTCTCCACAGAGGCTTTGTGACTGTGGCAGATGTGCCGAGTCATTATTTGTGCCATTTTGTCTGTGTAGCTTAAGACCGCGGTCTTTGAAATACGTCTTAGAAGATAGCGTGAATATCTTTTCTCCAAGTAAGGCGGTAGATACACCGCTTACAGAAGACAAATCACATTGCCGAACAATGGGAGCATCCATCTCATATTTCATAAGCTTTTCGCGAATGTGGTCATACTTGATGGAGAGGCTGGAAATGATAATCTGCATGATTCGGTTAGGAAATTCACTGAGCGAAGAATAAAGTATCGTCTTGCCTTGAAGATGGTGTTGCTTCGTCGAGACTGATAGCTGCGCTTCTCCATAATGTGGAGAAGTTTTCTTCCCATGGCCAAGGATTTAAACAGCGTGTCTTCCTCGTACGAATCTTGATGCATAATGGTTATGTACAGTAGAGTGAGCATGCAGCTGGTCAAGAATCGAATTGCCGGCCAACTGGCTTCTGTAAGCAATCCCCATCTGCACATGTCTTCGCACAGTTCGATTATATTGTGACAGGCTTGAATACAAGCAGACGCGCAGGGAGATACGCTTATACTATGCCGAGTTTTTGTATAATCAGCAGTTTCAATGTCATAGTGCAGAAATGGTCGGTAGAGGCGGAGTTGTATGTAGGAATATGTCAGCGCGAGAACGAACTGGGCTCTAATAGGGGTTCATCGGCAGTTCGTCAGCAAATGTCATGGTTTCTCAACAAAGCAGAAGCCTCACTCACCGCTGTATGGCGGGCCCTTGGTAATACGTTCCTAGTCGGTAGCCTAAGGGTATCATTGTCGCCCACTTCTCTAATTCTTGCTCGATTTCATGGATTTTATCCACTCTGACAGTGTAGCTCATCGATCCACACACCTCAGCGCTGGCTCGGCCTTTCCGAGGGTAGATATCTTTCAACACTTTATGGAGAATGTTGTGCAGCCGAGAATAGCAAATCAGCCCAGATGAGTAGCACACTTCATTTGGAGGTTGTGTTATGGTTTTACCCTTGTATATATAGGCATCATTCAACTCCAAGGGTAGTTCCTGGTCCAAATCTTCATCATTCACCAAGGTTGGAAGTCCAACGCATGTGGCGACTTCGGAAGAGAGAAGCTTTAAAGCCCAAAAGACTCTTTTACTTATCTCTCGAGATATCAAATCTTGAGTATTGTTTAAGGATCTATGAAGTCCCATGCGTAGGGCAACCGACATAGAGGTACAAAGGTAAGTATAGCAGAATGGAGTTCGGGTGGTATATATAAGAAAAAGGTTCTTGAACACGATGGCCTGCATAGAAACAAGGTCATTGCAGCTTGCTATATCTTGCAGCTGCTTGCTCTTAATGAAGTATCGAGACCTTGAAAAGTTAGTATATGTTGGTCATATGAGTATGGGTAAGGGATATGTACGCTCTTGTAATCACTTCCTCGTACTCTAGTCTCTCTGCAAATGGATCGACAAATAAGCTTCCATAGGCGAGTACTGCGTAGAGAAGTGGTAAGAATCTTCTTTCTTTCAAGCTGTATTCGCGTGGTTCAAGTGAGTAGATCATGTTGAAAGAGAAGTCAAAGCTTGGTCGATGAACAATATGCAGCAGCACTTGCGCGTCGAAAGCAGCCTCCACCAGCTTCACTGCGTGATCTCTTCCTGGTAAGGGAACCTCATCAAGGCATCGCGCATCCCCTTGGAATAGACCTGGTACAGACCCATCAACAGGAATCCTTTGATGGGTCATGGAGCTATCCCCGAGTTTTTCGATTAGCCCTTCCATGAATGTCCTGTCAGCGGACGTGCCGTGGAATTCTATTTCGCCATGCTCGATAAAATGATGAGCCGTTGTACACTTCCCAATTTCTTCGGAGTCGGTCTTCTTGGTGGTGCCATTTTTATTGATATGTAACGGAGCTTTGATCGGTGGCGGCAGGGTAGGAAATGGAATTATTGCTGTAACATCGATTGCTGGGGAAGGGTAGAATTGATTGGATTCAACGACTTTCAGTCGTTTTTCCATTGCATCTAGCTGAGAAGATGAATTTTTAGGCCTTTTGACAGCACGTTTGGAACGTTCCGAATATACACAATCTGCAAGGCCGTCAGTTTTGCTTTGCCGAGCCAGGCTCAAAAACTTATTCGCCATACCTCGGAACGATATGCTACATTGGCCACATGGATCTCTCTTGTCGCATTTGACCTTGCGCCTGCGGCAAAACTCGCATGAGATCTTCTTCCATTCAACCCTGTGCTCTTCTCTAGACATATGAGGAAGATCGACGGTTATAGGTGGCTGGAAGAGATATTTGTCTTTGCTGCCGCATCCAGTCTGATTGGGTTGCTCCGATAGAGCAGCCGAAGGCACAACTGGCTGTACGCTTTGCGATGAAGTCGCGTGGCTATCATCCTTAGACGACATTGTGAGTTTGGATCTCGGGGGGCTGGTGGAACATGTGCCGTGGCTGTGCCAGTGTTGGTCGCTGCCATCTGGAGTGATCCTTCACTTTTTTTGATGACTCAACTGTGGCATTATAAACTGGCACAGCAGTCTAATCGGTGATCAAATCAGCGATCCAGCAGAACCTTTCTAACAGATGACAGTTGCATGTTCTGACACCTTGAGAGAAAGCCTGTGATGCTCCCATTGGGTACTACAGCTAGCTAATCGAAATTGCGGACTTTCGGAGCTCTTCATTCGGAGTCTAGCCTCTTTTACGGAAGACATCGTCCAACCAGATGCTCTAGAAGGACGATCTCCAAGCTGGAATGGAAACTCTCGCCCCCGCGTACCCGCTCTTTTCTGACTGCCGAATCGGCACCGATCTGACCGGTCGTCTGGTGATGCATTTTGTTGGACAGTACGCCACACCGAATGTTAACAGCAGGGGCATCGAAACGAAGTACGCTAACCTCATAAACGGCTTGGACGGAGATTGGTAGAATCGTCCGAATAGCACGGTAAAAACAGGTTGTAAAGTAATCATATTTTCTATTGCGTATCTTTCTATAAAAGCGTTTGCCACTGCATGAACCATGGCTCAACCAAATTCAGCGTTTAATCACACTTTCAGAGTGTTTATCTGTGAAGCGGCTGGTTGCCTTGAATTCCAAAATAATCCACACTCCAAGTACATATACCACCCAATATTACATACGAACCGTGCAGCACAATAGGCTGTTTTCAATATGTCAGTCAAGGAATCAGAGCAGGCAGATCAATCAGATCAGAAGGATACTGAAAAGGTAAGAATCGGTCTGTACAAGCAGTATCTCCAATACTAAAAAGATATACAGCAGCAAGAGACGAAAAGAGAAATCTATCCCGTCACTGATCTGGAAAAGGGTATTATCGCCTGGGAACATGAAGAAGACCCATTGAACCCAAGGTAGGGCATACTTCGCTCAGCTTCAAGCAATGAATGGGGAATAGGCTAATATTTGAAATCACGGACAGAAACTATCCTCCGGTTAGAAAATGGTTCCTCCTCTCACTTGTCAGCGGCATCACATTGATTAGGTATGGTTGTACATCACACCATCAGCAGCTTCGAAAGAACGATAACTCAAGCCGTTTATAGTCCTCTAGCTTCATCAATCTTTGCCCCGGCGGTAGCAAATGCAGCAGAAGAGTTCAACGAAACATCAACAACAGTGAGATCTTTAGGCGTAACGGCATACTTGTTTGGCTACGGGGTAAGCACAACAGACATATTGCCTGCTATTTCTAGGAAGCTTACAAGCCAGTAGTTTGGTCCATTGTTTCTATCACCACTCAGCGAAATATACGGACGTCGAATCATTCTCAGCATCGCAACATCGTTTTTCGTTCTATTTCAGATTGGGTGTGCACTTGCGCCCAACTTTGACTCGATTATTGTCTTCCGTCTACTTACAGGAATAGGAGGATCTGCGTGCCTTACAATTGGGGGCGGCGTGGTTTCAGACCTCTTTGAGCCAGAACAGCGAGGAGTCGCCATGGCTATATTTTCCGCCGGACCACTCTTTGGGCCTGTATTAGGTCCTATTTGTGGCGGATTTATTGCCCAGGGCGCCGGATGGAGATGGGTAGGCGACTACTTTTCCTCTTTAGCATCTCTTTGTTCTCTTATGACCAGACGGTACTGATTGGCAACATAGGTTTTCTGGGTTTTGGTCATCGTAGGCGGCACCTTTACGCTATTTGTGATGATCTTCAACCGTGAAACGAACCCAGTCATCATTATCCAGCGTAAAACAAACCGCTTGAGGAAAGAACTTAACCGTCCCGAGCTCCGCAGTTACTATGATGATTCTAGCAACCAGAAGAGTAAGACGGCACATTTTATCCATCGAATAACGACGCCTTTCCAACTACTGTTTCGATCCCCCATCGTTGCGGTTGTGGCGATTTATATCGCAGTCATATACGGCTGTCTGTATCTCCTTTTCACGACAGTCACAGAAGTCTTCCAGAACGTGTATCACTGGAGTGAGCAGATCAGCGGCCTATCCTACATTGGATTGGGGATGGGATTCGTTGCTGGCCAAGTAGCATTTGGTCTATTGAGTGATAGAGTCCTTATCAAGCTCAAAGCTCGCAACAATGGTGTCTTTGAGCCCGAAATGCGCCTCCCTCTTACCATACCCTTTTCCTTTTTTGTCCCGATATCTTTCTTCTGGTATGGCTGGTCTGTCAAAGCACAGACTCACTGGATCGTGCCAATCATCGGCTTGTTTCCCTTCGCCTTTGGCATGATTGGAATATTCGGGACTTTGCAAACCTACGTTATCGACTGTTTCCCACGCTATGCGGCTTCGGGCATTGCGGCAATTACCGTAACTCGATCCTTTGCCGGTGCTCTTTTACCTCTTGCTGGTCCACCAATGTATAAAGCGCTTGGTTATGGCTGGGGAAACTCGCTGTTGGGATTTGTCACCTTGGGACTCATCTCAATGCCAATCATGTTTAATCGCGTTGGAGCATCTTTACGAAAGTCATCTTCTTTGCAAGAGAATGCAGCGAAATAATGCACGCGTACTCGTGTGGCATTGTTCTTTACGACGGACCCCATCCCGAGGTATATACAGACCTCACCACATATTATGCCTACCTTGGTAGGTAAGGAGCCTTGCATGAGATAACCTGGAGCGGTATACTATAGACAGACAATAGATTGGATAGACTTTTTTTTCTTTCTTCAGGCTGAGAATTTGGAAACGCATCATGTACAGTTCAAGTAATGTTTAACTGAATTCGATTAATATTGACATTTTTTTTTCGCCAATGCATATGAGCATAACCCGCTGGCGCCTTCATACAAACGGACCATTCTGTTGCGGAGTTGCTCGAGTAGGGGGGGGGATTTCAATGAGAGCATGCTGCAGTATCAATAATAATAAGTCACACTGTACGGCCTTTTAAAATGAGACGCGTCTTTCACCGTAGTTTCGCGTCTCGAGTGACATCACGAGTAAACACCGATCGGCAATTGACGTCAAGTTTCCAGATGCCAAAGCAACACAATCAGCAACGGAGCGAACGAGGATTAAATTGAGAATCATTCGAGTTTTGAACTTTCGAATTTCTTCCTTCATTTCCACAGACATTGAGTTTTTATTTGCCCTGCACTCATCATGAAACGCTCCAGAGCCGCCTATACATACGACGTCGGTGACGCCAGAAAACCTCCAGCTAAAAGAGCTGCAACTTCAACCAAGAAGGCTTCTGCTTCTACCAAGAAAGCTGCTACTACTTCTACAAAGAAGGCCTCTGCTTCCAAGGAAACTTCTTCCAGTGAAATAGCGCAGGCGACAGTAGTAGCAGCGCCGCCCTCATAATCTTCGGATGATCCCTTTGGAAAACGCTACAAGGTATCGTTAGGACCGAATGGAGAGCTTATGATCCCGCAAATCCTGCCGAACGAATGCCTCAAAGTCATTGAAAAGCTGCTTCTACCACATAGATGGGTGCACACAATAGATGCTACGCCAGATCGTTCGCTCACTCTCTCATACAGGAGATGGCGGGAGACGAACGGTCTTTGGCTTGAATCAAATAAAAAGGCTCTTGGCTTGAATGCAAAACAATGGAAGATGAGAGAAGAGGCGTTTAAAGATGATTCGCCTCTCGAAGGATATGATGCAAATACCCTAGAAGAATTCATCTGTATGAACCCGCCGGCGGGTGAAAGAGACTCCAATGACGGAGACGAAGATGGCGAAGAAGACCAAGACGAAGACGAAGACAAAGATAAAGATAACGAAGATGGTGAAGAGGATGAAGATGACGATGACGAAGTGAGAGGTAGCGGAAACAAAGAGAGCTCTGCGGACAAAAAGGGCAAGAATAAGGAAGCTGATACAGAAAGGGAGGCCCTTCGCAAACGCATGGGAAAGCTTGCTTCTCGACACCCAGAGCATCTCTGGGTTATTACTCTGGGTGGCTTTGAGCGGTTTAGATGGTGGACTCAAGAAATCTGCAAGCGAAACCAGGACGACTACTCTATGTACATCTTCAATGACTTCAGCTGGTATGGAACCATTGAAGTACTGGAGAATATGGTGAGCCACCTTGGAACAACATCGAAATCTTAGCGGCTAACTGTTGGCTATAGTTTGTGCAGTTCGAAAAGGTTCTCAAGTCCAAGAACCATGAACCTTTGGACGTGTCGCGAGAGATTGAAGGACTTGCATGGCTTCTAAATAGCGGAAACGCCGAATTTGAAAGTGAGTTAATCTTCTCTATGCGGAACTAGACCCAGAATATGTTTACTGACTGCGCTGTGTAAAAAAAAGTGTGCGACGATGGCGAACGGTGTCAGCTAATTTTGGAGCTCTTTGGATCCATGATAATTGCTGCTATCGACGAGCTTCAGAAGAAGGGTCTTTTCACTAAAGATTCCAAATTTCCCAACATTCCAATTATACTGTCTCTTCTCATAGAATATGCATGGACGATGGGCCGCGGCGACTATGGCTTCGACGAAAATATTGATTGGGTCTTTTACGTTGTTCAACAGGCCGAGGCTGCAGATATTACCTTGGGTGGGCCGTCTGGATTTGAAAAGATCCTGGAAGTGATCGAGGCCGAAACTTCAGAACACACGGCCGCATCGCTTTCCAAGGTCAAAAAGAGCACATTCATCAACAAGGTATGTTGCTTTCTTGGTTGAATTACTGGTTTATCCGCACAAGCAAAGCTGACACAACTCTGTTCCATTAGTTCAAATCTTACGGCTCACGAGGCGGTGAGCAATATGTCATTGCAAAAATGCCTGCTGCCCAAAGAAAGAAGTGCTCTCTTGGAAGCGGTGGAGGCGGGATGTTCTTCTAGAAGTACTGAAAGCAAGCATGTTTGCCCAAATGTCCTGTTAGACACGGTTGTACAATTGTAAACTACCAAGTTGATACGTCTTAGTTCAAAATGTTATGATGTACATGATCCTCATAGAAAACAAATCGCACCAAATAGCATCAGTCACTTGCCATAATCCCATTGCCAATGATGTACATTATCCACATTGTTTCCCCGCAAGTTGCTATTTACTCATATAAAGTAGGAATACATAATTTCAAGGCAAACTCAAGAACAACTCGAGCATCTTGGGATAGTTGGGTGTGCCCAGTCCAGTAACAGGATCCCATCCTTTGGTGGCATTGAATCCAAGGGTGCCGCAACCAGGGTTGGTTCCGTTTGTGATGTCGTTCAAGACTCCCGGGTTCTCGTACAGCACTGAGTTAATGAGTCCCAACGGTCCCTTTCCTATCTTGATGCGCTCTTCAACGATGCGGTTGATGAGCGATGCGAAAATGGGCGCAGAAGCGGATGTGCCGCCAGAGAGCCCCTTCTGACCTTGCACCCAAACTGCAATGTTATCACCATTTGCTGCCACATCGGGGATGCCTCGTCCATTTCGGTTGTAGATGCCCGTGCTATTTTGGTATTGGCCATTTTCATAGTAAGGGTATGACGGGTTGTATTTCTTGAAGTAGTTGGCAACGGCACTTTGTTGGTACTTGGGAATTGGGTAGATGTTGGAAAAGCCCTGTAATTGATCAGTAGATATTCTGCTATTGCTTGTGTCACGGACTCTATACTTACACCACCACTGCTGTAGTTGAAAGAAGGGCTAGGATCAAAGACAGCGCTCTCAGGATCATGGACTGTCTTTCCTGGGTAGACCTTTGTGGCTCCAACATTTGTCAACCACGGGCAACTGTTGGGGTGTGTGGGAGAAAAGACATCGTCATCTCGGAGACAACCGTAGAAATCTGCATCAGTATCTCCAGGATAACCGCCCACTCCAGTATCGCCACTAGCTACAAAGACAGACACGCCCTGTAGAGCAAGTTTCAAGAACTCCTGGCACTGGCGCTTTTGGTAGTTTGCGGGGAGGTCGCTCTCTTGAACACCATATGAGATGGAGATTACGTTAGTAGGCTTGTAGACGCCACACATGAGAGGGCCTTTGTAACCACCGGGGTGCGTCGTATCGGGATATACAGGGTCAAGCGTGGGATCGTTGCCCGTCTCTCCAAAAGCAGAGTAGGTACAGTAGGAGCCATCAAGGGCGTCAAAGAAGGTGTTGAAGACGCCAGTGAATTGTTGCGCATAGAATGCGTCGTCGGTTTGGAAGAGGGTTGTAGTCTGAGGGTAGATGATGGGATATGCGAGTTCAAAGTCGAGGTTGCTTTCACCACCAGCGTTTCCTTGCGATACAGGGGCCTTGGCACCATCGATTGAGTCTAAAGCGGGATGAGTGCCGTTGGGAATGTATGGGGTGTATTCGGCAAAGAATGCATTAAAATCTGGCTGAGAATAAACATCTCCTTGTTCAAAGACGCCGAGAGAGTTGTTTTTGCTGACTTTGGCGTGAGGATCAGGGGCTTCGAAGTTGTAAAGCGCTTGCAAGCATTTAGGCGTAATGGTTTGATCGCAAGTTGAAAGATCGTCTGGTGTCGACTTCTTTGGTAGCTGAGGGAAAGGTCTAATTTGTTGTTGTCGGCGGTGAGGATTGAACTTCAATTGAGGCGCGACAAGTGACCCATCCCTTTTTCGAAGCTTCATGTCCATAAGAGTACCCTTTACGCCGGGGGTGATGTAATCGACATGTTCTGACACATGTTCTGGCAGATGATATTCATGAGTAGCGACTAGAGCGCGGTCTCGATCATCATGGAAGTATTTGGTATTCAGCAGGCTCTCGACTTCTGCAGCAGTGGCGTCAAAGGCCAACCACACTTTGTTATCACTGTGAGTGATTCTCTCTTTAGAGATACCCGACTTGATCAACCAAGCAGCCACCGTTTCAACAGCGTCATCGGAAGGCTTGAAGGCTTCAACTACCTCATCCAGAGTCCAATGTTTGCCGTATAAAGAAGAGCTAGGGTGAGAAATTTCCGCCAACCAATCCTCTGCCTGCTCCATTGCCTTGACATTCTGCTTCAAGCCTACTCTGACGGGAAGCACAACATCGGGTGAAACTCGTTTGTGTAACTTGGGATTCGGGACCCCGCGCTTCTCGTGAACGACATGGCCCCCGGGGATTGATCGACCTGAAGTCAACCCCACAAGAGCAGCAACCTGGATGGCAGATGAGAAGCGCATCTTGACAATATGGAGGGTGTAACAATTGTATCAGAGCGCCAACTCACTTACAATGAGGCAAATCCAGCATTCATCTGCGCGGTGCATCTAGGCACAATTTATACATCTACAAGCACGGTCGGTGCCATCTATCATGCCGCTCATAGTTTGCTAGAGCTACGCTGCGATGATACTGTATTCTCATCTTACAAGGTCCATTCACCAACAATGGGCAGAACTTTTGATTCCTTTCTCCAACCACTCAGATATCGACCATTCAGCGATGAGCGATGCAAAGCTAAGACAAATGCCTGCATAATCACACGGCAAGAATCGCAGTGAGGTGATGCGCTGCTAGGTTGGTTCAGGAAGGTCAACTACCTGGCGCGCAACTCCGCCGAGGCAATGCTGGAATTTTGTCCCATTATGATAATCACTCCGGCAATCGCAACAAGGAACCGGCATTATCGGCACCGGTGCTGGAACTTTTGAGATGCGAACCCAGATGAACCGATTTTGCTTGTGACAAAGAGATAGCGTTAGATGTGTCAAGGATGGCGCTGCGATCCTAGTTGATTATGAGCTGTCTAAACCCGATATGGGTTTCAGCGTGGAGATGGAGTTGATAATGGAGAGCATTGAAAGACTTTAACCTGGGTCGGAAGAGTAAGGTAATTAGCATCTCGTATTGAATAAGATATAGCCGTGAGTGATAAGATTCTACCTTCCTCGTATACAGCACTGCCGCCGAAGATTAGATAAACAATTTTTCTCATCGGCTTGTTAACTGGACTGGATCATCGTTACAAAGAAGCTTACCCGTCCCACTGCGCCTCCTCATTGCATCCTTCAGTGCGCTAAGACTTGTTTCGCTCTACTGCAATTATATATAAAAAAGTATTACTCTCAGCTATTGTAATATTACTTCAAAACATGATTCAATTGCAATCTTTGATCTGACTACTTGACGTATTGCGGCCCATATCCTGACAATTAGAAGACTTGGATCACGGGTCCGGTTGCGCACTAACACAATGTGGGGTTTACTTGAGGTCGGTCATAATAATGAATATTGTTACTGTATTTTAAACGACTCATGGGGATATTGATAGTTTCTTCACATTATCAAGACGTGAATACAATGACGCTACATTTAGTATTACCAAATGCATCCAGATACTTGGATCTATTCGTGGCTCCTCCCCTCGCAATAAGTGATGCCAAGAGTCACGATCGATGCCCCTCCCATACACATCAACGAGCCGCCTTCAATGGTCCACATCTCGCCAAGAGAAATTTCACGATCCCGTGTGTTGGCCCTTTCACTTATACACGGCCCGGAATGTAGCTCCGGATTACTCTAAACGGCAACCGACCCGGCCGGCAGCCATCACAGCAAAGCTGTCAAATCTCGGTTCTCGGCTGGTGTCATTAAGCTTCCGAAACCTCCACCAAGCGCTTTGTCACCCACCTCCATCAGCCTTAAAAGATAGCCTGAAGCTTCTTTCAGATATCCCACATAATCATTATGACGACGCGCGTCTCCTTTGGGAATGCCCGCTATCTCAAATGGGAGTCAGGCTGCAAGTCGGTCGGGCAGCTGCCACGTGATGATACGATTCGCTCCCACCACCAGCTGTATGTCAGATAACACACCTTATAAATAGCTGTTCATCTGGCCATTGATGCGGGGTACAGCTTCTGTCTGCATTTCTTACAAGATTCAGGCATATTTACCTGTTTCTGTACTGAAATCTCGTCCCAAAGATACCACGCAATGGCCTCGAAGATTGCAATTGCTTCCCTGATTGCCTTATCGGCTGCTTCGGAGGGCCTTCGACCATGGGAGGCTCCTGGTCCTAATGACTTGCGGAGCCCTTGCCCAATGCTGAATACGCTGGCAAACCATGGCTATTTGTATTAACCTCCCTCCAATTGGAGCCAATTCTTCATCAATCAGAAGCTAATGGGTGTTTAAGACCTCACGACGGCCGCGATATCTCGGCCCAGCAGTTTGCCGATGCAGCTTTCGAAGTCGTAAATATCGATCCTATGGCTATCAAGCAGGTTGCAAATTACTTCCTCAGAGCTTCGAACCAAACTTCCATCAACTTGACAGACTTGAATCGCCCTGGCATACTACAGCATATTGCTTCTCTCACCCGAGACGACGTTACAGACCCTGATAGCGTGGATGTCACAGCATCTCAAGATCGAATTCACCATCTTATAAAAGACAGCGACACTGACTGCATTACAATTGCTTCACTTGCAAAGACTCGCTTACATGTTGAAGATCTATCTTCTCCCAAAGAGCTGACTCTGAAGGAACAGACCTTTGCATATGCCGAGGCAGGTCTCCTGCTCTTGACGATGATTGAAGGCGATGTTCCGTCTGGATGGAGCTTTCCTCCAGCAACCGCATATTGTGCCCCCAAGAAACGAGTAGAAACGTGGTTGACGGAAGAGAGATTTCCGGAAGAGCTGGGGTGGAAGAAGTCAGAGCGAACGATTGGTCTCATGGACTTTGTGCCAGTCATAAAGGGTATTTATGAGGAAAAGAGATCGCAGGCTGGGAAGGGCCCATTGTGGAAAGCCTTTGTTCCCTCTTTTCTCCAGCAAGCAGGAACTGATAGCGAGCTATGATGAGCTTTGGCTTGGTGCGTGTGTTTTCTGTATATGATGTTTGATACCAAAAAGTGTCTTTTGAGCAACGGTTGATATACTCATGCCGTACGTGAAGCGCTATGCCGTGAACAAGGAATCCATCTCTGTAGAAAAGAGAAGAAACTTTGAGTATGTAGACAGCTTATTTTTCGGCTTGGTCAAGACATGGAAAAAAGATGGTGCTTGGGCATCAACAAGAGCGGGGATGCGCAAAAAGATAAGGATCCAATGCAATGCGTAATCTGGGAATCGAACCCAGGGCTCCCCGACGTTGCTCGGATGGCAACGGAGAATTTTACCACTAAACCAATTACGCTTTGATGTCTTGGTGTCGAGATATTCTGATTAAGATTCCTGGTGCCAGTGGTGTTGTCTCCATCTGGATCTTGAGAGTTGACTGGAATGTATAGACGTAAGACGTAAGATGCAATGAGAGTCGACTCAATGCGTAACTTGGGCATCAGCATTGCAGCATACATACAAGCTCCATCTTCACGCATATGCGGCAATTATTCACCTCATTGGCTCACTGCTGCAATGCAAGAGAAAGCACGGCATTTGCCTGCAACATCAACTTTGCCTTTGCCGCATATGCTGATCAATTTTGTTGACGAATTAGTTGCATGCAATTTGGCAATCGGAAGTCTCCCGAATGGAAATAGAACGGCTTGTTTTTTTATTCCCTTGGCAGTTACATAGAGGCGACTGGGGGAGATTATCATTGCGGCACCTCCAAAAAAAACTTTCCGCAAATCTATCCACCAATGTTGTTTTCTCACTGTCTTAGCCTCAGGTGGAACCACGCTGTAATGACGAGATATATATAGAAAATCGGGATCCCCCAGATTATGGGGATAACCGTTGCCTGCTTTGCATCTTCTGCTTTGCTGGCCAACTATATAATTTGTTACGGTCTCGAAGACTCTTATAGTGAAACTACAGTAAACTCACGACGTTAGATACAGCAACGGTATCATGGCGCCAAAGAAAAACATCCTCCTCGTCATAGCGGACGACATGGGCAAATCCCTTGGCTGCTACGGTGATTCTACAATATCAACGCCCAATATTGACCAGCTAGCCTCTGAAGGCACGCTCTTTGACAATGCGTTTGCCAGTACAGCATCTTGCAGCGGAAGCCGATCCGTCATCTATACCGGTCTCCACACGCATCAAAACGGGCAATACGGCCTGGAGCACTCCAACCACCATTTCATGACTTTTGATAATATTGACACTGCTCCTAAGCTCTTCAATGACCTTGGGTATCAAACCGGCATTATTGGAAAAATCCACGTCGGTCCCAACCATGTGTATCCGTGGGAGGTGCGAAGAGAAAGCCCAACCCGAGACGTTTCTTGGGTTGCCGAGCAGGCTGATTTGTTCTTCCAGTCGGCAAAGGATGACCCCAGGCCATTCTTTCTGACGGTGGGATTCATGGATCCTCATCGGGACTCAACTCGCGGTGGATTCGGCAATGGGGACGAGAACGTATCTGGTCCAGATGCGACTTACGATCCTGCAAAGATTACTGTTCCCAGCTTTCTCAATGACATTCCCGAAGTTCGCCAGGAGATGGCTGAGTACTACCGCTCCGTTGGCCGAGTTGATCGGGGATTTGGTTCAATCATGGAGGCCTTGAAAAAGGCTGGCTTCATCAATGACACGCTCGTTGTTTTGACGAGCGACAATGGCCCGCCGTTTCTCAATTCAAAGACAACCCTTTACGACGCGGGTGTAAGATTACCTTTAATTATACGGAACCCTCAAGGACAAGCTGGTCTGAAGAATCCAAATATTATTTCTTTTATTGACCTCCTACCGACATTCCTCGACTGGGCAGGACATGATTCTGCCACATCTTCTGCCTCAGCCTCTCCACCTCGGCTCGGTCGCTCCATTCTTCCAATCATTGATGAAACTAATACACATGACGACTGGACAAAGGTATTTGGGTCCCATACTTTTCACGAGGTCACAAACTATTATCCAACACGATTCATGCGCACATCGCGCTACAAGTACCATCGCAACATAGCATGGAAGCTCGACTTCCCCTTCTCAACTGATCTCTACGCCTCCTTGTCGTGGGAAGGAATTCGCAATTCTCAGTTCCCAGTGAAAGTCGGAGAGCGCTCCTTGGAAGCATACATCCGACGGCCTCCGGAGGAGCTGTATGACATGCAAGAAGACCAAAGGGAAGTGGTGAACCTGGCGGATCGTCCGGAATACAGAGAGCTTCTGTTTGGTTTCCGAAAAGAGCTCGAAGACTGGCAGCGAGTGACAAAAGACGCATGGCTGGTACGAGACGGAGTATCATTGTCGGAGATGCAAGGACACATTGATGCAGGATTGAAGATTCCGGATCGATTTGACTTTGACTTGGCGGCACCAGGAAATACGCAGTCATAATTCGGGCTTATTTTCTTCTGAAAAAGCATGGAATAATGTTGGTAGCAATTCCCAATCTTCTAGGGTCATGTCCAGTCGAGGCCGCCAACTTCTTGCTCTTGCTCTTGCTCCTGCTCGTCTTCGAGAAGGCGAGGCTGCCGAGCAATGCTGCTCGAAATTTCTTGCATCTTATCATGCAGAATTTGGAGCTTAATATTATCGCCACCGCCTCGAAAACATGTCAGAAACTCAGAAAGCCGGTTCAAAACATCTCGTGGACCAACATTCATCAGCTGCTTGCCCTGAAATGTCGAAGGCAGACATAGCAGGATGTCGGCTAATGACATTGCCACTTCAAACAACTTCATTTCCTAAGGAGAAGATCATATTAGTCGCAAATCACCCGAAGTCGAGCTTATCACTACACACCATTCCGAGGCCATGTGCTTCAATGACAGACCGAGGAAACCTATCAATGTTCTGAACGACATTTCGCGCGATCTGATTTGGGAAAGACAAGCTGAGACCTTCATCTGCTGCGTTGGGCAGAAGATTGATGTAATACATGGATGTTTTCCACAAAACGACTCTCATCCACTGTTGCGTCAGGAGAAAATCTGCTCTCTGCAGGTCGGTGGAATTCCACGAAGCTTGCTGGACTTCTCTTAGGCGAGCATGCATGGAGGCAAAATACTCGTGTGTTTGAGAAGACCCGTCGCCATCCATGGCATTAGCAAAGCTTTGGAAAAGTTTGCTCAGACTGATGAAGGCGAATAGAATCGGGGGGTTCTCATCCACTTCAAGTTCAGGTAAATCAGGATCAAGCTGTAGTATCCTTGGAAAGTCAAATCTTGTAGTGTGACCTCTGGATTGTATCATGTATTTGTTAGTGGCCCCTCAATCATGGATCAGATTAGAATAAGAGCTTCTATTCACCTTTCCGTTACAAATAATAACCAGATTGTGCGTAAATGCCGCTGAGCCTCAAGTTTGGGGAGGTTTGCATAATGTCCCGCCTTATCGAGGCTCAGCATCTGCGCAAATGTGATTGCTTCTCGTAGCAGCATGGCTCCCTTTCGAATATGGCCGCGGTTTGCATATGATACGTGTAAGAAGAAGGAAGTTAGTAAAACGCTGATGGATGGATGTTCCATGTAATCCAGCTCATGCCTCGCTCTGGAGGATTCGGAAGCCATGAATGCGCCATCATCACCCCCAAACCGGCCAAGTGCTTCATGGGATGCAGGCTTGAGTTGTGCTATTGTGACTGCACTGACCGCTGTGGCGAGGGCATATGCCTCGATGTCGGTGGAGTCCCGGAGACGGTTGAGGAGAGTCTCTATATTGACAACGGGCCAGACGGGATATAGAGCTTGCTGATAAAGGCCAAGATAATGTTCAAAAGCGGAAGACGGGACGCGATTCATGCCAGGGTAGATGTGAGGCTGATTTGACGACTGTGAATGAGTATCGCCATCGGACACGGGAATTGGGGCTTTTCTATTAATCATCGTCGCTTCCATTGCCGATTTATTATTTAACAGAGCTTCCCGCTTCCTTTGTGCCCAGGGCCCCTTCGGGCCGGCCTTCAGCTTCCTCCTCTCGGCCACGCATTGGATCGAGAGGCTCTGGCATCGTTTACATGGCAACCCCCGATCACATCTCACCTTTCGAGCTGCACATGCATCACAGGCCCTGTCCCGAGCCATCTTTAAGTCCGATTCGGGTCGTATTCATCACAAGGAGGTGCAAGATGCGAAGAATCTGGTGGTTCCAGCTTCACTTGGCCTATCTTGGCTACGATATTGAGTTTGATGCTAGTCTGTTGCCACGTCCTGTGGGGGCGTTAGACCCCAGCACTGTGGAGAATCTGATGCGGGGATGCGAGACGATGAGATGTGATTGAATCTCGTGCCTGGCATCGTGTGTACCTGACATTAGATGGCGGAGTGAGCGGGATGCATCGTGTAAACCAGTACCGCTGATCCTTCTTGTCCGTGACATCTTCATCCCAACTCGTGTTCGATCATTCAGTTTTCCGATTCCAGTGAACAACTAATTAATAAATGGGGTCGTTTCAAATCTCTCAACCCGTGTGGTTTTAAATTCATCGCGCCATAGACTAAGAGTTAGGCGACCGTATGAAGGCGAGTCAGCGCTGCCTTCAAAGATGACCGCCTCTTCTCTCTAAATTAGCTCCGATTCTGCTTACGCGCGGAAAGATTTTTGAAGGCGCGGAAAGATTTTCTAGCTCCCAATTCACATGATTGAGTCCACCGAGCTTCGTTTGTCAACTTCAGACCTACATCTCAACGGGGCGCTATCACCGAATGCTGGTAAAGTGACAGCTGCGTCGTCTCAACGAGGCATGGCCTAGTACCATTCGTGGTAGTTTTGAACAACCGGAGCATGGTCCGGCGAAGACGTGATGGCCGCTTGAATCACAATAGCAGATATTGCTCTTTCTCAATGCCCCGGGTGAAGATCGCTCAGCGGCTAAGTTCGAGTATATATACTCGACAATATCCAACAATATTGCAAATATAGTCGCAGGTTCTTCAGCTCAGAATTCAGCGCTACCGACAATGGCACTATCATTTCTTCGAGAAAACCGATTCGCTCGGCACTTTACCCCTCGGCTGGCACTCTCTGTCGCTCTGATTGCCTTATCTACCTTCAACTATGGCTTTGATAACCAGGGGATTGCTACAAGTCAAGCGATGCTGGCATATAAGAAGCAATTCGGAGACTTTAACCCAAAAACCAACACATATGCCATACCCACCTACTACCTGTCTCTTCTGAACAGCCTCAACTTCATTGGCTTCGCCGTTGGTATGTCGACATACACTA